TGTCCAATTCGGAGGAGTCTTCTGCGGTAGTCGGGATGAAGACCGCTGAGATCTTCGGGACAAGACTTCTTCCCCGACGGAGTTGTCTTCCTTGTCAATATGGGACTCTCCTCCTTGGTCGTGCTTATCCATCCCACGTGGTGCTAACATGGATGAAGAGATAAGATGGCCACGGAGGCTGCCAATTTGATGTTGTCCAATCCGAGGTGTCCTGACTTCTTTTGTTATTCTGTGACTTCATCTTCTCGGGCCATCTGATGAAGCTACAGCTGCGGATCCGCATTAATATCTAGGAGCGATGTGCGTTCAGAGGAGTGAAGTTTCTATACGTTGGATGCAGGGTACTCGGTCTTCGGTCGAATTGCCGGTCTTGTCTCTTGCTCTCTTGATCCGGCTTGCGTTCGTCATGGTTTCTCCTCTTCCGGTTTTGCTGCTCTTCCTCGCTCCTCTGTAGTGCTTGGGCCTCCTTAGCGTTCATGTACTTTTGTGCATGCTTCATGAGCGTTGTTAGGTTGGGAGGAGGGTTCTTTGTAAAGAGAAGCTGAACACGGAGGATTGCAAGCCGCTCATAATGGTTGTCATTAGACCTGTTCACAAGCTAGGTCGAGCCGGGCTTTGCCTTTATATTAATAGAAAATGTTTAAGCCCGAGCCCAAGTCCGGCCCAACCATTGGGCCTAGGTCTTAAGCCCGAGCCCGGCCTGACTATAAAGCCTGAAGCCGGGACTGAGCCCGAGCCCGACTAGAAATTTGGGAAAAAAGATTTTTCCTTTGTAATTCAATTAAAAGTTATTTTATTTATACTAAAAGACCTCAAAACCTAAAAAAAATAATGAAAAGTCTCATTATTACTTGAAAAAAGAGAAGAAAAATAGTATACATATATATATATATATATATATATGCTTTGTTATTATATAAAATATATTTTTATTAATATAATGCATTATCAAGTCGGGCTTGGGCTCGAGCTAGGATTTTTTGAGAAAACCCGAACCTAGCCAGAAACAAAGTCGGACTCGATATTTTAGGCCCGAGCCCGAGCCCGCAGGCCTGAAATATTGTCCAAGCCCAACTTAGATCGGGCTGGGCTGAGCTGGCCCGTCAGGCTACCCAGCCCATGAACAGGTCTAGCTTTCACCACTACAGATTGGTCCAGAGCTTGGACTTGTAGGGCATCGAAGTTGAACCACGCCAAGTACTCTCTTATGGTTTCTCCCTTCCACTGCCGCACTTGCACGAGACTAGCTGAAGTCTTCCAATGTCTTTGGTTGGCTGTGAACCGTGCCAAGAATTGGGTCTCTAGTTGTTACCGATAAGATATGAACCACAGAAGTAGGGAGGCATACCAGGTCCTAGCGACTCTGTGGAGGGTGACGACGAAGGCCTTCACATCAACCCTTTAGACGAGCCATGCAACATCATTATGACTTTGAACCCTTCAACGTGGTCGTTGGGGTTTGAGGCTTCATCATACTTCTCGAACTACAGAGGTTGCCAGCCAGTTGGCAAGAGTTCATCTACGATTTCTTGGTTGTGGTGTTCTGTGTGCTGGGCTATGGGAGGAGCCACGCTTCTGTCTGCTTGGTTGTGTTCCAGTTCAGCCAGGCGTTCTCTCGATTCCCTGATTTTGGTGTCTTTGTCAGGTGGGACCACACCTACGAACTTTTCTCCCTTTGGTATTAGGGGCCGATCTTGGATTGAACTGGACTTAGCTACCAAGATTGGTGGTTGTGGCAGGCGTTGACTGAGCCGTTCCTTTTCCGAAACCTGGGTGGAATGGTGTGACTTGCTGTGGACATCACTGGCGCAGGACCGGACTAGAGAATCTGATCTTCTTGATGATTGTCTTTCTTGGTCGGACCAAACCCTCTACCTATTTGGGTGGCACTTCTTGGGGTCCTCAGTGTGAGGATAGGTCATAGTAAGCGCCTTCGCAGCAGAGGAAATGGTCTGGAGGGCTTTGGTTGTCTATCCCAGCATCTCCATCATCGCAAGAATTCGGTCGACCTTCTGTTGCATCGCCTGGAACTGCACCGGATCGACCGAACCCTCTACCTATTTGGGTGGTGCTTCTTGGGGTCCTAATTGCGAGGATTGGTTGTAGTAAGTGCCTTCACGGCAAGGGGAATGGTTTGGTGGGCTTGGGCTGGCTATCCCAGCGTTTCCATCATCGCAAGAATTCAGTCAACCTTTTGTTGCATCGCCTGGAACTATGCCGGATCGACCATGGCTTGCTGTTGGGGCTCCCAAAGTGGAGAGTTGCGGTGAGAACAAGATCCCCAAGATGGGGATCGGGCTCTAGAGCGGTCGGATACATTTCTTGGCATGGTTTTCCTGATTGTGTAGAAAGAGATTTATTAAATGGCTTTTTGTACAATTCCCATAGATGACGCCAATTTGATGATGTCCGATTCGAGGTGTCTTGAACTAAGATCATAGTCAGATAGTCCTGCCAAGTGGTGAAATCGAGGTGGAAGGACAAAGCCGCACACCAAGATTTGAAATCAAGGAAAAAGATCAATGGCCCGAGGAGTTGTTCCCCGGGTAATCACTCTGACGCTCAAGTCAGTGGCACGAAAGGTAAGTGGTTGGGCCGAGCAAATGAGAACAATGCTAGTTCGAGCAGAAAAGGAAAGATAGAAGTCCAAAGATCCAAAAATCCCTTACCCTGAGCGGAGGTTACCTATTTATAACTGAAGATCCGTGATGAGGCTTCCGGGGTTGTTGGGATGAAGTTACCCACCAAGGTCTTCGGGATAAGTCCTCTTCCTCGGTGGAGTTGTCTTCCTTGTCCGTACATGACTCTCCTTGGTCGTGTTTAGGGGTATCAACGGTATTAAAAAATCCAACTTTGAATTCGACATTCGACATAATCGAGTCGAATTTAGATAATTCGAATATCTAATCAGTAGAATTCAGATATCCTAATCTTACCAAATAGTTAATCGGATTTGAATTTGGATATGACCGGATTCGATTCGATTCGATAAATATCCGAATTTGATCGATTATTTAATTCTTATATATAATTTATATATAATAATTAAGTTATATAAATAATTTATATATTTATATACTTTATATCAATAACACATTTATTTTATATATTTATTAATTATCTAAAATAATTAATTAATCGAATCGAATATTCAAATATTTAATCGGATTTGTATTTGAATATTAATTTTCAATATCCGTCGGATATTGAATCGAATTAAGATATCGGATTTTCTAATCGGATTCAAATTCAGATATTACCTTATCCGATTTGAATTAGATCTGTTTACACCCCTAGTCGTGCTTATCCATCCCACGTGGTGTCATCGTGGCTAAAGAGATAAGATGGCCACAAAGGTTGCCACATGGCATCCTTGGCCAGCTCGAACGTAACCCAAACACTTTTAATATAATTTAAAATGCTAGATTTTCCCTTCTAGACTTCACTAAAGCTAATGTTTTTATATAGTAAAATTACTTTATTCTTTTCAACCTAATTTGGGGAATTTTTTAATTAAAAGTGAAAAATTCTTTTGGGAATATTTTGGTAAATTTTCATATGAATTGATAGATATAAAGGTACAATGCATATTTTTGAAACAAAAAAGTAAGGTTGTATTTGGTTGCAATGCAAATAAATTTGAACTGATGCCAAACTATGGGAGTGCAAATGATTTGAGTGTAAATTCTAACATTTTTTTTTTCAATTTTTATCTTATTTTATTTGATTGCAGTACAAATGAAGTAAATTAAAACATGAAGCAGAATAAAATAAAATCCAAAAACAAAATTAAATAAATTTGCACTGCAACCATACACAACCTAGTGCATTATATGCCAACATTTTCCGTCCAGCAAAATAACAAAAGGCAACGACAAGCTTTTCCAATATTAAATAGGAGGTTTTTGTAACAGTCGAATTTGAGGGGAGGCTTTTATTATTATAAGAAACCAGTTCGGATTGGGTAAGTTTGGACTCGAAGGGATTTTCCCTTCGATTCCAACCATAGCAGAAGCGTACCTAGGCCTAAGAAGCCTAACTCGGAAGAGGAGGAGGCCGTAGAGAATGGAGATGAGGGAAGAAGAAGAAGAGGCTAACTCTGAAGTGCTTCTCGTAGAATCGTAGTCATAGAGGGTCCCGTTCAACAAAAACACTCTCTTAGAAGCCCTCAATGTTAGGGTCACCGGTACCGGCGACAAGATCTTCATCCTCGCCTATGGCTTTGGCACCGATCAATCAGCTTGGCAGTGCATACTACCCTCTTTTTATCAGCACTACCGCATCATCCTCTATGACCTCGTATGTGCCGGCAGTGTTAATCCTCATTATTTGGCCTACATCTTAACCTCTGTTTCCTTCTGAAAACGAGGGCATTGGAATTTTCTCTCAGCATTACCTTTAGTTATCAATTTTTATTTAAAAATATTTTTATTTGTAATAAGTTTTCAATCGATTGTAACTGCTGGTCAATTAAACACTGAATGACGTGTCAAAATATTAATGGACTCGAAGAAAAAATCCCTTCGAGTCCAAACGCACTGAAATTGTTGGAGATAGATTCCCTGTAGCAAAGAATCAGTTTAACCTTCACCTGCCACCCAGTGACTGAAACTGGCTGGGCTTCTTCTCTAAATTCCTGTTCGATTTGGTCAAACGGTCAACCCTCCAATCCCAAGCAAGAAAGTAACAACCCTTCAATTTAATTTAATTCAACTCTATCAAGTACTCCCTAGTCCCAACTGTTTCTTTTCCCTCAAGATCATCTACCGTCCATAACAAGGATTGATTGCTTGGACCACATCAATTACAGGCTCCAACAGAAGATCTGATGGTCTATCAACCAATCCAACGGCTCGGGTTGATGAACCAACCAACCAACCATGATAAAATAATAGTAAGACAACGCTGAATACCCAGAAAACAAATGAGACCCAGCTCACATGCAGCCTCGAACAGCTGACACACCACCTACAAGGCTACAATGAGAGAGAGAGAGAGTATACAGCTACAGCTCTTCAGATTTACAGTAGAACAGAGGATTACATGTATACAACAACGAGAGGAAGAAGAACAAAATTCAATTTTTTTTTTCAGCAATTTGAGGGTTAGCTTTTCTTACAAAAACAGTTAATCCAAACCCACCAAGCTCAACTAGTAATCACAACAAAATCTACAAAAAAAGAGGAAGAAATACAGAGGAAAGACTAGTTTTAGATCAACCCACCAAAGTCTAGTCTGTCATCTTTCTTCTGTCTGGCTATGCTGATTGATTGATTTTTATTCTGGAATATGTTCATGAACAAATGGGGTTAGTAATGAAACTACGAATCTAAAATAATACCGGAAGAGAACCCAGGAGAGAGATCTGATGACCAATCCATCTTCAACTCCTCCAGGCGTAAACGAGTAAACAAAACCCAGATGGGCTTTGTAACTCGCTCTCATCCATGGTGCTTGCCCATTCCATCACCGATGAACTGCATCCGGATGACGCCGACGACATTGAAGACGATGACGAGCTCCTCGTCGTTTTCAGAAAGCCTCTGTTTATTCTCTTCCACTCGAACCCACTCATTCCCATTCCGCCACTGACCGGAGACTGCTGTGGCTTCCAAACGACCATTCCTCCGGTCTTCTCATTCAAATCTTCCATCCCATTTTCTGCTGCTGCTGCTTCTTCTTCTTCTTCGAACTCCGACTTCTCGAACTTGAACATGAAAACGGCGTGCCCATCTTCGACGCCTCCATCGAATAACCAGTTATAGACGTCCCACGACACCTGAATCGGGATCCCATCCACTTCAATCCTCTCGTTCCCTCTGAACTTCCACTTCAATCGCTTAATCAGCAAAACCCTCTTTTTATCGACACCGAAACAAAGCCTGGGCTCATCACCACCCACGCTGCAGTCAATCGAGATGTCTCTTGTCCTACCCCCGAATCTAGCCCTCGTTGTGTAGACCTTGTTGCCAAAAACATGTTCTCTCCTCGAAATTAAAACCTGGTTTCTCCTCTTGGGCCTTCGTGTTTTGGTTCTGTCGTAAGCTGCCCTCTGCAAATCACCAACAAGAAGGGTCGTCTCGCCGTCGACGACGACGGCGACATAGAACCCAGATTGGGGTTCGGGGCTGGAGGAGATGAACTTGGCTCTGGTTAGATCCCAGTAGATTTCGACCTTCTTCTTTGCTGGGTTGTTAAGGTGGAGTTTCTTTGAGCCGTATTTTCTCCAGAAGAAAAATGGCTTGATGTGGAGGCGGAAGGTGGGAAAGAGATCCTCTTCTTCTTGGTCATCGAAGCGGAGGTCGATCTGGAGAGCTCGACCAATGACGTAGCGGCACCAGGTGAGGGCGAAGACGCCTAGATTAGTGTAGTAGAGGCATGTTGTCAGATTGGCGTTGCCGGAAGTGGGTGGTGGCGGTGGCGGCGGCGGCGGTGGTTCTGGTGGGTGGTCGTCGGAGATGGTGGCGTTGCTGGGGCGGAAGCAAGATGGAAAAGAGACCGAGTAGTCCGACATGTTTTACGTGGGTTCTGTCGTCAGAGGTTTGAACGAGAAATGGGGTTTTATGGAGAGAGAAAGAGGTAGGGAGGCGGAGACAGGAGAGAGGAGCGGCTCGTCTAATGCATTTATTATTAATTTTTAATTTGTTTTTAACTTTTTAATTTAGTTAAATTTTTTATTTAAAGGGATTATGTTTATAGAGAGAAACAACAGCTAGCAATTAGTAAGTATTTTTCTGTCTGGACTTTGGACTTGGCTTTTGGTAGGTAGATTATTTTTCAAGTCTGAGCCTTGGAGCTGAATTCCTCCATTGGAGTATTAAGGAGGAAGCTTCAAGTTTAGTAACCTTGTAGGGACAGGGGAAATGAATATGGACTACGTGGCAGGTTTGGATTGGTTAGAAGCAAACCATATAATGGGTCCTACCCAGGGGAGCTGCATGAGCCAAAACTTAACAAAGCATGATGGGGTCAGAATTGGTTTTATCTGGAGTACATGAAGGAATAGAACAAATCAGATAATTGGGAAGATTGCAATCACCCGGTTTGTTACTTTGTTTTAGAAAACTAACCTACAATGTGGTTATGTGGGACCTATTAAGTTGTGGGTCCCTCCATTGTGGGGTTTCCACTAGGATCCCTTTTCATTCAACTAGACCAATTTCTATTTAATCATTCCTCTTCTGTTCTGTGCTGTTTGATCAACTTTCTTTTCCTTTTTCTTTCTTGGGGTGGGGTTTAAGGTTGAGCATCTAGTTGTAAAACCATTAACTTAGAAAACTTAATTAAATAAGATAGAATTAAATGGGGAAGTGAAAAATGCTGGACTTTAATTCATATTTAATTAAGAAACATCTCTAAATTGGCAGATTTAGTTTAAAATTTAACTGAAACAGTTTATAAAGTTTAAATGTTCTCCTTGGGTTGCCTGTTGAATTTAGATCACTTCAGTTTTTGACAATGGCTGCTCATTTTCATTGCTCTCTTGTGGATGTGGAATTCCAAAGCTACCCATTATTTTTAGCATGGTTTTCAAAACCAGTCCAGACCGGACGGTCGGACTGAAAAAACCAAGAAACGGTTAGGTGATCGGTTTCGTTTTTTTTCAAAACTAGATATTTACAAAAAACATTGATTTAGTTAGCAAATTGTTGACTTGGACAGTTAAATCATTCAAATCGTTCAATGATTTTGACCGTTTTTTATTTTTTTACTTTTTATTATCAGAATAGATCGATCGTTCAATTTGAACGATCGAACTATTCGACCCGAAAACCGACCCCTAACTAATTCGGTCTCTAGGTCAGTTTTAAAAACCCTGATTTTTAGATTTACTACCTCAATTTATTCACTTGAAGTTGCTAGGTCATTTATGTGATTTTGTCCAGCATACACTTTCTAACATCTAACTGGTTACTTCCATATATTGACATGTATTTATTTTTGAACCCACTATATGTCAAATAATAAGAGATAGGAGGAAAGCGCATTTTCAGTCATTTAATATCCTACTTAGGCTGCAGTTGGAATTCTTTATTTTAAGGATTTATCTCCTTTTTTTAGATTAAAAACTTAATGTTCATGGGAACATTTTAACTTCAAAAAAGAGATAATTCCTTAAAATAAGTCTATCTATGAATATTGGCCCTTTGAATGGCGATACAGAATATGGATATTTGGAACTTTTATCTTCTTCTTCTTTTCTTTCAGCTAAGATTACAATCTAAATATTTGATTAGATCCAAAGCAATTTTGATGAAATTGAAAGCTGAAATGATCCCACAGCTGGACCTTACTCATAAAGTCTCATGCGCACAACAATACATTGATTCACTTAAAAGCATAGGCTAAAGATTTATTTATTTTTTCTTGCAGTTAGAAAATATTAGTTTTGGTCCAAACTGATTCACATTCCGTGTTGCTAAATCATGGTTTATCTGTGTTTGATTAATATCCCAAACATATAAACAATTGGGCTAACGATTGCAATTAAGTTTGTTTAATTAGAAAAAAATCCTGCCGTGAAGATTAAGTTGAGCAAGATAGCTTCTAAGAGGAGGGTATAGAAATGGATCAAAGGGCTTTTTTATTGAGAAAAAACTATTCCTTTGTTCTCTATACATCAATTTACTTTGTCACAAGTTTAGCAGGTACCCTCTATCTTCCTTTTCGATTCGCTGACGGCAAAAACGAGTTAACATGCTCACAACATGACAATCCAGCCGCATATCAGGAACATCTCCCAACTTGTATGTTATCATTTGATATTTTAAATTTTCAGCTGAATTGCTGTGCCATCAGTGTATTAGCATTTTTTTTTTTGACTGACAGCAGATCCTGTTCCTTTTGTCTCACCGCCCTCTTTTTCTTTTTCTTGTTTGATTTTGAATAAGATGCTTCTTTATAAAGTGGTGGCACAAATCAAGCCCATGACTTAATTTTGAATTCTCAATGTTAATTCTTTTTTCTCTTGCCAGCCCATTTTAATTGGTTGGCCCTTCAACCACCATATAAGTGTGGAGTAAGGGTAAGAACAAAGGCCCTCCTTTAGGGAATCCAGACAAAACCCTAAAGAGACAGCCTAGGATTGCCCTAAAGCCCTCGTTCAGAAGGCAGGGGGTCCCTCCCCAGTACGTTTGGAGGGGAGGGAGGGGGGGCTCCTTTTCAAAAGTCCGTGCCCTCATTTTGGACCAAGTCGTAGTTAAATAATGGGTCCAAAGATTAGGGGACAGTAAGATTGAAATATAGTTTAACATCAAATCAAAATCCAAGTGTACAATCAAATACCCCTCCTCATGTGAGGGGCCCCTTAATGGATTTATAGTGTAACCCTTTTCTAGACCTCTGTGATGTGTTGAACACACTTATGGGACAGGTCTTACATATTGATTGTGTGCTTACTGAATGTACTAATTAGATGGAAGGGTGATATACATGGTTTAATATATGAATATGAAAATCGGATTTGGTCCTCACAAGACCGTGTTAACATGTTCGTACGATTTATTGCAGCCTTATATTGGGAATATCTCCCCATAAAGAAAAGATGTACAAATATTCCCAATGTACAGCTATAAAAGGCTATATAAATGATGTAAACACGGTTTTGCATGTCACATGATTCAAAGGGCCAATATTCTTATTTTTTTTATGATATTAGAAGGGGTTCTTATATTTAAATAAAGAATCCCTTAATTGATACATATTATACAATACACATCGATATGTTGCGATATTTTGAATCTTGATACATAACAAATTATAATCAATAGAGGGATTAACAAGTTAATTGGATTCAGATGGTAAATCTCCAATAAAATGCAAATGTACCCCCATATGGCCTTGTCTAAGGGCCTCATGGTTGAATCTGAAACCTCCTTAGACAGCCCATATGGCAAAGGAGTATATATAACCGACCTTTAGCTTTAAATTGACTACTTCTGCATTGGCTACATTCTACACATGTGGACACCATTGGATCCCCTACGTACAGTGCAATCTCAGCCTCACATCTCTCTGACATGTAGCAAAAAGAGAGACAGTCCATTGCACCTTTCCCTTTCAATACATAATCTCTTTTTGCTAGATTTGGCTTCATTGCAGAAGGCCTTCTAGTTCTGAGATGTATATAGTGGTTGTATATATATATATATATATATAAATATATAAGCATTTTGTACATAAAGACATCTGATAAAGGCCATTACCCAATTTTGGTCCCATCTATCTCAGGTCTTGGGAGGGATAGACTAGGTAGAGTTCTAAACTTTGGTGTTTTTTTTTTTTTCAAAATGCTTGTTATCTCGAGATTCTACCCTTACACCAAGAAATGGCCCTTAATATGTGTTCTATCCTAATCTTCACCAATAATTTGAATCTTCAAGTGGTAACAATTAAAACCATAAAAAATGGGGATCCAGATAGCTGTCAGAGTCACTGGTTCAGCCGTTCAAATGTTTTAGTCAATGACAGTTTAAAAACATTGCTTCTAAATATTAAAATAAAAAAGAAAAATATATACCCAGCCCTTAGATACTTAGTTTTATCAATGTATGTATGATAATAAGACTATAAGAAGAAGAGATAGAGAAGGGATTAGATTGTTCCTTCTATCTCTTAGTTGACTAAGTGGCGTGGCCTTATATAAGGAAGTACAAAAATGCCCTTACAGGGGTGATCATACATATTGATAAATACAAATAAAAGTATTGCATTTATACTGTACATATTTGTATTTACACTCTTCTCATCAAACTGAACATTGCACAAATTTTCACCTTTTTTTCTTTTAGTCTAAGGACAAGATCCTTTTGTTACATTGACAAGTTAGGACAAAGGCTATCATCCCTAGCCTATTTGTAGGGTGAAGTCTCTAACAGTTGCATAAACACAATGTTTACCAGAATTCCAAGGCCTTTTTTGTCTGAAGTGCAAATTGCATTTGTATCGGTATAATAAATGTATCATGTATGGGACTGGAAATTCTGGTTTTATTTCATTTCACTTTGACTTTGCTTTGCTTGTTTTGGAGGAGTGAAAGTGGGAGCAAAAATTATGTGGTCTTGATTTCATATGAGAATACAAAAAGGAGGATAATTGTTTGGGAGTAAAATGATAAGTTACCAACTTCATATGTGTGAATGATGTAGGAAGAAACAGGTGCAAATTATGTATAAGTTTTTGTGATGAAAAGTTTGCACTTCCAATGAGTGCAAGTGAGACAAGGTGTGAAAATTGTGCATCAGATGGAGGTGCAAATCATAATTACAAACACACATAAATCTGGATGGGGTGCAATATATATTGCATCTGGTTTGGATATGCCTCACAAATAAACTGAGTGAGAGACAGAGGGCTTGAACTATTAGAATATTTTCATGCATTTCTATTAGTAAGTACTGAGTAGTGAGGTTGGCTAACCATGAAATTGGAATCAGGAATACGATTCCGAGTTAAACGAGGCATCAAGGAAATTAGGAATATGATTTATTTTCCTATTGATTATCAATTTTCAAGCAACCAAACACAACTTATAGACATGTGAAACAAATACAAGAGGGAGGGTTTGTGAAGCACACAATTTGCTGAGTTGGAAGAGTTTTCAACAT